AATGTATCCACTACTGGAAGGCATTGATTATATAATCATACCATTCATCAATAATAATATATAATAATCTATATACAATCATTATACATACCATGCCCTTCCAGGAATCCTAGAAATGACCCGTTGAATAGTGAACATTATGATTAACCACCATCCATCTATATAGAGATTGGGATCCCCTAGCTTCAGACAGACCCAAATATGTCCATCTCCCAGATTTACTCTACTTGGTGTGTCCGACCATTTGTAGACCATTTTCCAAACTGGAAACTCTGGGTTTTCCACAATTTTATCCACATTTTTTTCTACAGTACATCTTTCCCCCAGCGTCTTTGAAAAAGCATCTATCCTTCTGTTGATTTAGCAAAGCTATGGAAAGCATGGCTCAGTCATGATGATTTATCATGCTTTACATACTAAAAACAGTGATTTTTGATAAGCAGGGTTTATACACCGAATGATTACAGGATGGTGCCCCATAGTTAGCTAAGTTGGTTTATAACTCCCATAACTATGGTTTATGGCAGATATAACTATAGTTAATGGGGTTTATAAACCAACAAACATCACTGGGGGGCACCATCCTGCAACTAGTTCAATATATCTACCACAAACCAAAGTTGATCGTATTCCAGCTCTGCACTGTAAATTACCAAAGGGTAGTCTCATTATTTCCCCTCAAAAAATCCCCTTATAATCCCATTCTATCCTCATGATTCCCAATGAATCCCCATTGAATCCCTATAAAATCCAATGAAATCCTGCTAGAATCCCTATAAAATCTCTATAACATACAATTAATTTCCTTTCAAATCACTACACATTCCCATGAAATCCTATTCGAATCCCTATAAAATCCCATTGAATGTTCAAATCCCATTAAATTCTATTAGAATCCTGAAGCTCCGGTCCTTGCTCAACTTGGAAACGGTTGAGTTGACAGACCGTGAACGAGTTCTTTTGGTGGCAGCAATGGTTGGATTCTTGGGAGTTTTTCAACACATATATTTCCGTCAGTTCCATCACACTTTTCACAGATGGAAATGCAGACGCCCTTGGAAATCTGCAAGTAGGTCCACCCTATGACGAAGTCACGGCTTTCGCACAGAAATTGACATTGCTTCGACCAGCTCGCAGAGCTTATGCAATAACCCCGAGACACCCCCGAGACACCCCGAGATCGCACGTGCCACCCCGTGCACGCGCAGTATATATATATATAGAGCTTGCCAGACGGTTTTTCCGTCTTATCACTCTGGGAATATATCTATCATCAAAGAAAGTTGGGAAGCAATACTTCCGTGTTACGGACAAATAGAATTCTGCGACTTGAAATGATGCAGGGTGGTAGATCGCATAACAATACATAACAAAAGAATAAGAAGCAGTTAATGACGGGTGGTGACGAAGGGAAGTGGTGACGAAGGGAAGTGGTGACGATGGGAGTGGTGAGGAAGGGAAGTGGTGAGGAAGGGAAGTGGTGAGGAAGGCAAGTGGTGACGAAGGGAAGTGGTGAAGAAGGGAAGTGATGATGAAGGGGAGTGGTGACGAAGGGAAGTGGTGAGGAAGGGAAGTGGTGAAGAAGGGAAGTGGTGACGAAGGGAAGCGGTGAAGAAGGGAAGTGATGATGAAGGGGAGTGGTGACGAAGGGCAGTGGTGAGGAAGGGAAGTGGTGACGAAGGGAAGCGGTGAAGAAGGGAAGTGATGATGAAGGGGAGTGGTGACGAAGGGAAGTGGTGAGGAAGGGAAGTGGTGACGAAGGGAAGTGGAGAGGAAGGGAAGTGATGATGAAGGGGAGTGGTGAGGAAGGGAACTGGCAACCATGAAGGGGAGTGGTGCATGATGTTGCAAGGGCTCTGTTTTGGGGAGGAAGCCGGAGCACGAAACCTTGTGTTTTTCCGTGTAAAGTGGCTGCAGGCGACGATGAAAGGTACCTCGTCTGTGCGGCGGGTGCGGCTGCGGTCGGTTTATCGTTTTTTTTGCCGCAGTGTAACGGTGGCTTCAAGCTGCTTTGGGTGTGCTTGTGTGTGCGTAGTTATAGGATGTTATGGGTGTTTTGGAATCTGTGCTTGCAGATCGCATTGGAATGGCTGCATGATGTTGCAAGGGCTCTGTTTTGGGGAGGAAGCCGGAGCACGAAACCTTGCGTTTTTCCGTGTAAAGTGGCTGCAGGCGACGATGAAAGGTACCTCGTCTGTGCGGCGGGTGCGGCTGGGGTCGTTTCGTTCCTTCAAAGTGTTTTGCAACACTGGATGTTCCTGTGTACGTAGTTCTATGCGTTTCTTGAGTTTGTGTTTGCAGATCGCATTGGAATGGCTGCATGAATGTTGCATGGGCTTTGTTCTGGGGAGGAAGCCGGAGCACGAAACCTTGTGTTTTTCCGTGTAAAGTGGCTGCAGGCGACGATGAAAGGTACCTCGTCTGTGCGGCAGGTGCGGCTGCGGTCGGTTGGTCGTTTTTTTTTTGCCGCAGTGTAACGGTGGCTTCAAGCTGCTTTGGGTGTGCTTGTGTGTGCGTAGTTATAGGGTGTTTTGGAATCTGTGCTTGCATTCCGCATTGGAATGGCTGCATGATGTTGCAAGGGCTCTGTTTTGGGGAGGAAGCCGGAGCACGAAACCTTGTGTTTTTCCGTGTAAAGTGGCTGCAGGCGACGATGAAAGGTACCTCGTGTGTGCGACGGGTGCGGCTGCGGTCGTTCCGGACGCGATTGGTTTCTTCTATGTGTTTTGTAACAAGTGGTTGTTCCTGTGGTATAGTTCTATGCGTTTCCTGAAGCTGTGGTTGCAGATCGCATTGTAATGGCAGCATGAATGTTGCATGGTCTATGTTTTGGGGAGGAAGCCGGAGCACGAAACCTTGCGTTTTTCCGTGTAAAGTGGCTGCAGGCGACGATGAAAGGTACCTCGTGTGTGCGACGGGTGCGGCTGCGGTCGTTCCGGACGCGATTGGTTCCTTCTATGTGTTTTGCAACAAGTGGTTGTTCCTGTGGTGTAGTTCTATGCGTTTCCTGAAGCTGTGGTTGCAGATCGCATTGTAATGGCTGCATGAATGTTGCATGGGCTATGTTTTGGGGAGGAAGCCGGAGCACGAAACCTTGCGTTTTTCCGTGTAAAGTGGCTGCAGGCGACGATGGACGGTACCTCGTGTGTGCGGCGGTTGCGGCTGCGGTCGGTTTGCCTTTTTTTTTTGCCGCAGTGTAACGGTGGCTGCAAGCTGCTTTGGGTGTGGTTGTGTGTGCGTAGTTATAAGGTGTTTTGGAATCTCCGGTTGCAGATCGCATTGTAGTGGCTGCGTCAAAGTTGCTTGGTGCAGCGGCTGCATGCGTAATACTATTGTCTTTTGCAGCTGAAGATCGTAAATCGTATTGGAATGGCTGCATCAAGGCTGCGAAAGTGATTTGTCAGCGGATTTTCTCAATTTTGGCGCTAATAATTTTCCTTTTGAAATTCCTTTTAAAAAGTGCTTCAAAATCGTCTTTTTGTCGCTTTGGCGTCGAGATCCGGTTTTGGAGCTGCAATTTCCGACGCCATTGTACGTAGTTCTATTGTGTTTTGCAACTCAGTCTCTGCAGATCGCATTGTAGTGGCTGCGTCAAGGTTGCTTGGTGCAGCGGCTGCATGCGTAATACTATTGTCTTTTGCAGCTGAAGATCGCAAATCGTATTGGAGTGGCTGCACCCAGGCTGCGTAGCGATTCGTCAGCAGATTTTCTCAATTTTGGCGCTAATAATTTTCCTTTTGAAATTCCTTTTAAAAAGTGCTTCAAAATCGTCTTTTTGTCGCTTTGGCGTCGAGATCATTCTGGTTTTGGAGCTGCAATTTCCGACGCCATTGCACGTAGTTCTATTGTGTTTTGCAACTCAGTCTCTGCTGATCGCATTGTAGTGGCTGCGTCAAGGTTGCTTGGTGCAGCGGCTGCATGCGTAATACTATTGTCTTTTGCAGCTGAAGATCGTAAATCGTATTGGAATGGCTGCATCAAGGCTGCGAAAGTGATTTGTCAGCAGATTTTCTCAATTTTGGCACTAATAATTTTCCTTTTAAAATTCCTTTTAAAAAGTGCTTCAAAATCGTCTTTTTGTCGCTTTGGCGTCGAGATCCAATCCAGTTTTGGAGCTGCAATTTCCGACGCCATTGCACGTAGTTCTATTGTGTTTTGCAACTCAGTCTCTGCAGATCGCATTGTAGTGGCTGCGTCAAGGTTGCTTGGTGCAGCGGCTGCATGCGTAATACTATTGTCTTTTGCAGCTGAAGATCATAAATCGTATTGGAGTGGCTGCACCCAGGCTGCGAAAGTGATTTGTCAGCAGATTTTCTCAATTTTGGCGCTAATAATTTTCCTTTTAAAATTCCTTTTAAAAAGTGCTTCAAAATCGTCTTTTTGTCGCTTTGGCGTCGAGATCCAGTTCCTTAGTAGTAGTACTGGGAAGTGATTCATGAAAGCTTAGATGACATATGAGAAGAGATGAGCTGGGATAAGGTGAGAAGAGCTCAGATGAGATGAAGTGTGAAGAGTGAAGTGTGGGGCGTGAAGTGTGAAGTGTGGAGTGTGAAGTGTGGAGTGTGAAGTGTGAAGTGTGGAGTGTGAAGTGTGAAGTGTGGAGTGTGAAGTGTGAAGTGTGGAGTGTGCAGTGGAAGCGTGCAGTGTGAAGTGTGGAGTGTGAAGTGTGGAGTGTGAAGTGTGAAGTGTGGAGTGTGCAGTGCGCAGAGTGCAGTGTGAAGAGTGCAGTGTGTAGTGTGGAGTGTGAAGACTGTCAAGTGTGAAGTGTGACGTGGAGCTTCAAATGTGACATGTGAAACAAGACACCAGTTTCGCAGAGTGCACGCACGCACGGGCTTCGCTGGCGCACGGCGCATGCAAGTTCTATAGATGAGAAAGGTCTTATATATATCTTTAAGGCAACTTCCGCCCCGCCTCGTGCGGGTACTACTGGTAGACACATGGTTTGAAGCCATTGAAACAAAGATTAAACCCGTGCAAGCAACCAAGATCGTCTGATCATGGCCGACGTGCCTGCGACTGCTGAAGATGCTATGGTTGCTGCCGTGGAAGGAGATGAGATGCTGCCAGTCTGTGAGAAGTGCAAGACTCCAATGGAGCTGAGTGACATGGCAGCCAAGAAGACAGTGCACTCGAGGCAAGCTTTTTGCAAGAGCTGCCATAGCTTGACGAACTTGCTGGTGAAGCATGTGGACACAAAGGAGCTCTTTTCCTCAATGACGCCATCGGAGATCACAGAGTTCTACCAGGAACGCCTTGGCATCCAGGAGCCCCATGCAGTTTTTGGCACCGTGTACAGGGTCGATTTGCAACCCACGCAGCTGGTTTGCATCATGGTGAAGTCAGAGATGTGGAGGTCCCTATAAAATCCCTATAAAATCATATTAAATCCACTTAAATCATATGAAATCCCATTGAATCCCTATTGAATCCCTATAAAATCCCTATAGATTCCCAGGTCTTTGCCCCTCCGGCCGTGGCTCCCCATGTCGCTCACGCGAGGTACGTGCGCCCCAGCGGCGAAGCCATCGCCATCCACCGGCGGCGCCGGACGCTGCCGGCGCGCTCCAACACCAAGGCGGAACCATTTTTTCATGGGCGACCCATTACCCTCTGGTAATTTACTGGTTGGTGGTTTGGAACATGTTTTATTTTTACAAATGCGTAATGAAATCGGAACACATGGTGAAAAAAAATATATTTTCTCAATACCCTCTGGTAATGACTAACATAGCTATTGAACATGGCTATTTGTAGTTGATTTACCCATTAAACATGCTGATTTTTGCATAGTTATGTAACAGTTTACCAGAGGGTATACCATTGTATAAACCATGGTACCATGGGACAATATGGTTTAACCATTTATATATATAGGGGGATAAAATACCAGGGATACATATGGTTGATACCATTTAATTTTCCAATAATCGCCATGGTATACCATGAGAAACCACATATCCATAGGAGGTACTTGTATACCCCTATGGTTCCAGGTAGCTCCTTAGGAAGTATGGCTGGGGTATGATTTAGGGGGTCAGCCGTACCTTCTCAGGACATGGTTGGTTCCAAAGGGTGTATATATATATATATATATTATTGATGGATACTGGATGTACCTTCATAACCATTATATACTTTGGTTATACCATGTTATACTTTGATACTTTATGTATATACCATTTTTTTATATACCATTTTATATATGGTTTATACCATTTATTAGAGTAGGATTTAATATATGGGGATAAAATACCAGTGACAGGATCCCCATAGAATCGTATTTGATTTAGATTAGAATCCCATTGAATTCTATTAGAATCCCATATTATACCCCGTTCATGGTTGTAACCCACTAAAAAAACTTGAAATGAAACATGTTTGTCATAACTTATAATTATATATATATATATATTATTATATCTGAGATAACCAATTTTTATTCATTTTTGTAATTTTTCACTCCAGTTTGGAGGAGCATGCCACTCAGTACAACCCCCACCATTCTTTAGTGAGCCCCACTTGGAATAGCCCTAGCATTTGGCGACCTAGGGGATTATTTGGGCAGGATGAAGGTGATGTGGATGACGACGATCTCTTCTTCGAAGTCATGACTGAGCATCTTGGCACACGACGATTAAACCACTGGAAAATTGGATTGGTTTAACGGAAAATGTTCATGAACCCCCTAGATTTCAGGGTAAAAACTATGGTTTCCTGTAGATTTTCCTGACACCATTTCATCTCAAAAACATGTGTTTGATTTGTCCACAATAAAAATTGAAATAATGAGTTTTTGTTTTCCCGGGTTTCAATGGGTTGAATTCACCTTGTAGTACATTCATGGGTGTGGTCCAGACGTTTTATTTTTCACAGCAAACACATTTTTTTAGATGTGTTTCGTTTACCCTCTGGTAAACTGTTACATAACCATGGAAAATCACCATTTTCAATGGGTAAATCCACTATTTCGACTGGGTCATTTTCAATAGCAAACTGTTAGTCATTACCAGAGGGTAAAGCAGTTCTAGAACATGTTTTATTTGTCCATATATTGGGAAGAATCATCCCAACTGTTACTCACTCATATTTTTCAGAGGGGTAGGTCAACCACCAAGCAGTGTATGTTTGATGGGTTTGACACTAGTTTTCATCCCGATGAATACCATGTCAAATGTCCAGGAAAATGGGTAGAGAATCATTTCATCCTATGTACTGCTTTGGTAGTCAAATGCATAAAAAACAATGGTGAAAAAAAATAGGGGGGTAATGACCATTGTACTTAGTTATCATTCATGGCAGTGACCAATGCATATTTTTAGACGGTTACTGTAAAATGTAAATGGATGTAAATGGGGGGGTGGATGGGTGGTAGATGTGTTTCCCCTTCATCCCAGCAAGAAGCAAAGTGACTGAGAAGGACATAGACAAACACCACGGGAAACATTGGATTTGAATGTCGACAGTTTCAAAAGTACAAGTTGGTTGATTGCTTTATAGGGCTATACTACCTCGTATACTACCTAGTATACTACTTAATATACTACCTAATACATTGAACATGATTTATCATGATCCATTTTTGCGATCCCCATTCACCAAGCAACATATGGAGAGAGAGAGATATATATATATATATGGATTATCATGGAAATTCCAATCATTTTGTTGACACTTCTCATGTGAAGCAGCCTCTTTTTTTGGTGACCCAGGTTTGTGAACGAGAACCTGCAAGCCGCTGAAGATCTGAGTGAAAGAGCCTTCAACTTGATCTTGTTGTACAAGGAGCGGTCCCTGATCCATTGATCGTTGGGATGTCATGGTTGAATATAACTGGGGGGTTCCGTTTTGTCATGGGGGTACCCCCAAATCATGGAGTTTCATAGGGTTTTCCCAATATAAACCATCCATATTGGGGTACCACCATTTATGGAAACCCCTTTTTGACATAATACCATCAATGTGATTTATATCAGATTTATATCATGGGAATAAATGGAGGATTTTTTTTTGGATGTAATTGGGATTTCATGGGATTCTTCTGGGAACATGATGGGATGAACTGTGGATGAATATTGACTCAGACTTCGATGTCAATGGAATGATTAGGACGGTATGATAACTTTACTACCTTCAGGTTGGTGAATTACTACACTTCAGCCAGATGTATCGAACAAGTTGAATTCCGCATTTTCAGAAACAGTATGGACCAGTATGGAGATAATCCACAAACGATGCTTGATAGTAGCACAAGAATTCAACATTCTTGGCAATTGAGGGTTTGTTTGGAAGTATACCTGAACAATATTGATTACCCAGTGGATTTCAGGTTTACAGTAACAAAACCATATCGAAATTTCACTAATGATTAATTGGTCTACTGGGAAATTGTACAACCCAATATGTCATAATATGTGAGAATACCAACAGCCAACTGTAGGGCTGATCTGCGCGGGAGATCAGCAGGGTGCTCTGAAGCAGATCCGGTCGTTTTTGTTTATCCTACGAACCATTTTGAATACGCTCCAGTTATTTGACATAGCTATGGAATATCCACCTTTTATAGCTGATTTTCCCTTTGAAACCTCTATGTAGTTCGGGTATTTTCCAGCTAGCCATTTTTGATTGCTGGAGGGGCCAAGTTTCAGAAATCATCCTTCTAGTTTCCACACAGGCTCAGCCTGTATGGGATACCAAGGCACGGATGTGAGGTTTCCTCTAATGTCAACCCCGGATGAGACTAAACCATGGTTTATTAATTAGGGGGGTACTCCCCGAATAGTCATGGATCATCTGATGCTAAACCATGGTATCCCCCCAATTAAACAACCGTAAACGGGGTTTATATTAATCCAGGGTTGACATTAATCCGGATTATCTATGGAAATTATGGTAAATTTGGGTCTTCAAAACCTCTGTTGGTTGATGGTGATAGTCATTTCATAGGGATTTTTACTATCATTCTTTGACATTACCCCAAAAAAGTTTCAGCTTTTGGGCAACGCCGTCAGCAGCGGATTTTTTCATCGGAGCACCTTCCTGGGCCCGAGAGTTATTTGACAAGTTTCCACGGTGTTTTTGCAGCGGATGTTGCAACAAAAGTGTGTCGACATGGCGGAGAAAACCAATGTTTGGTGGATGGGACTATATATACTATATGTATGATACATTAATATAATATATAATCAATGAGAATTTCAGGATCCTAAAATGGAGGTACGTTAGTACCATATAAGACCATATTTTGTGGGGATATTCCCTTACATAGGCCTGAACAATAGGCCTTATATATGGTAGGTACCTCCAATCAATCGGTTCCTGTTGCATGGCCATTGATCATAAGTCAAACTTGGATGATATGTTGGTACATCCCCATGGACTATACTATATGTATGATAGATTATTATATATATAATATATATAATATATATATATAATATATATTATATATAATATATATATATAATATATATATATATATAATATATAAAATATAATATATAATACAAGGTGGTACCCCCCCAAGTTATAAATGGGTTAAACAATCCATAAAAAAATCCATTAACTAGTTCGATATATCACCAACAAAAACCATAGTGACATTGGACTTATTTGCACCAACCAATCGCGATTCCAAACTGGGGCACCACCCATTGGATAGGTCACTTTTTTTTTCGCACGGAGTCTCAGGAGCTGGCCATCTATTTCGATGACCTGCGAAGTGTTTATCCTCCTCCCAAGCAGCTCAGGATGAATGTGGGCTTCGATGGGGATGTGAATATGGTTCATTTTTAACATTACCCTCTGGTAAACTAACATAGCTATGGAAAGCAGATTGTCACATACAGATTAAAGAAAGATTATTGATTGGATTGGTTTAAGGGAAATTGTTAACCGGAAACCAATCCGATTTTCCCATGAAGATCATGGGGCTGTCCTGTAAATTTTCCCTTAAACCAATCCATTGAGAATATGGTTCATTTTTAACATTAACCATCCGTTTTTTTTTTGGCAGATCGACTGTTTTTTGAATATCAAACTATCAAGTCAAACCAATCCCATTCAAAGGGATGGGGCCCAAATGGGCAATTTCAACAGGGAAATCAATGATGAATATGAATCAATCATTGTCCCAAGGTTGAGGGAGGATTGTGAAATTGCGACATGACGACATGATGCTTGTGAACAAAACCCTGCAAATAAAGGTTTGCTACCTGCTACCCTGGTGAAGCTTCCTCATCAGGTTTTTCCATGCACTTGTTGTCCAACCAATTCTCGGAAACATCAACCATCAGTCAACCATCATCAACCATCATCAACCATTATCAACCATCTCACAGTCAATTCTAAGTTCTAAGTGTTATTTTCCAAATCAGCCTCCAACTGACCTGCCAGGGGGGTTGACCAGGAAGGTTGTGTTTTGCAGACCCCCATTTATCATCCAGTCATTAGATTGTAGCGACCATGACTTAGGATGGTGACTTGGGCATCCCCCATGTTAAGAAACCCTCAGCCCTGGTTAACTGGGCATGCCCCATGACTCAAGAATCCCAAAAAACCTTGTTTTTTTTCATATTTTTTCGATCCTGCAGCTTCTGGCCTCCGGCGCCGGCTGAGGAATGAGAACGACACACGGAAAGACTTGGTGGAGGTCTTCCAGCGTTTCGCCGCGCAAATTCAACTCCACCGGGAACAGGCGCCCCGCCTGTCAGGGAATGGTGCTGTCAGAAGTGCTTGAAAATGAAGGGATAATCATTGGGGATATATTAGATAGAAGCCAGAAACATGGGATGTAATTATGATTTAGCTATGTATAACTGTATATAGCTATCATGAACCATGATTAAGCAAATCATGATCATGGAGATGTATGGAGATACCATTAACATCCATTAACCAATTATCATGGAGATAATTTGGAATATCATCTGGATGTTCATCGGGAAAATATGGAGAACCCCGGTGATTTTTGGATGGAGAAACCAATGTAAAAATAGATGGGCCATGGAGTCGGTTTTTACGGCTTTGTAGCTGCTGAGATCCTTCGGCAATCAAACATGGCGTTCGCGGGAAAAGCCTCCAGCCATAGTAGTGGTTTTACCATGTTTTACCTATATCTTCTCTATTGTTCCTATGATTTCCCCAGCTACAAACCTTCATTTATAGTTCGGGATTTCCGAGCGGCCCGCCATGCTTGATGACACCAGAGGATATCCTTTGATCACTAGGTATGGCGACTGTGAATAGATTCGGTGATGAACAATGCGACTGTTGGTTGAGGTTGATTCGGCATAATCACAATGATCATGATGATGATGAGGAGGAGGACGATGACGATGATGACGACGATGTTGTTGTTGATGATGATGATGATGATGATGACGATTATGATTACGATAACGATTATGATTCTGATTGTTGTAATTCTACAGTCACTATATAGTCTTATAACGAGGATGATATCGATGTTTGTATCGGTATTATTTGACATAGCTATGCAGGCTATGACCCATTTATAGATGATTTACGATAATTTACCCATTAAAATCATGATGATTTTCCAGTTCGCCATGTTAAATGACCAAAGGCTTTCACAGGGTATATCCAATCCATGATCATCATCAAAAATACAGGAAACCTCCAGGCGGGGACATTGTTTCAAAGAGGAATAGACGAAACTGCTTATTTCGTCATCAGTTCCCACAAAGAGACGTGAGTGTGTTTCATTGTAAAACAACTTCTCCAATGCAAATCTCTACACTGTCTTTATAGAAACGAAGTTGACGCTGCAGAGATATTAGGCTAGCGGTCAGAAAGAAATTGACCAGCTACTGCAGCTAAATAGGCATCAGCCAACCTCTGTGTTTTCATGATTCAATTGGCCAATTGTTTATTAACGGCACCTGAATAGGCATTCATGGTGTTCTGACAAACCAAGTCAATTCCAATTTATACATATATATATATAATACCCTCTGGTTATTTAACATATCCATGGTATAGATGGCCCATAGAAATAGATTGGTTACCTATTAATAGCATGGTGATTTTCCATGGCTATGTTAAATAACCAGATGGTATAATATTTCTAGGTATGTATATGACATCTACATGTTCATCTTATACACTGCCAGCTTGTTTGTCTTTTGCTCGCCTCGGGAAGCTCTCGCCAAATATCCAACAGCCCTTGGGTCAGCATCATATCAGTTGGATGATATCCCTATGTTTGATGATCGTACAGTATCTTCAAACCCATAGAATTTGTGGGGTCCAACAAAAACGATAGCTAAGTTGGTTTCATTAAAATACCTCCAACAACTATGGTTAAAAAATGCTTCACGGCACACATAGTCACATCTTTCATACTATAGCTCATCTGGTTGGTGGTTTGGAACATTATTTATTTTCCATAATATATGGGATGTCATCCTTCCCATTGACGAACTCATATTTTTCAAGATGGTTAAAACGACCAACCAGTCATATAGCATATACCCTCTGGTAAACTAACATAACTATGGAAAATCACAATTTTTAATGGGACAATCCACCATAAATGGTCATTTTCAATAGCTATGTTAAATTACCAGAGGGTAGTTCTCCTTGTGTTTTTGGCCCCAACACAACTGGGGGGCCATGGCTGATATCTTCCTATCTCCATGACCGGGACCTGACCCCAACGGAGGTTGAGAGCGAAAAGCTGCGCGAATTCTTGGAGGCGTGGCGGCTGAGAATGTATAGGTTTTGGGAACAAACAGTGAACACACACATATGCATCAATCATAGAATTGGATGATGGGAAAATTTACAGGAAACCCCTATATTTGATGGTAAAAACCATGGTTTCCTGTAGATTTTCCCTTAAACCAATCCATTGAATCAATGTTGTTTTCTTTTAATTTTATAGTGACTATAGTGATTGCTTGCTCCATACATATATATATATATACATATTTATGCCTTAGGTTTGCTTATGTATAAATAGTGATGAGCAACCATGTGCCATCTCATTTGCAAGAAATTTGCTACTAGCGACCAGGCACTTGGCTGGGAGATCCCAGCACTAAATGGAGGTTTGTAGCATGAATTAATGGTTTACCATTCAGAAACTTATGGAAAAATAATAATGGTTAATAATGGTTAATAACCTATAATAACTATAAAGTGGCTTAATGGTTTATCCTCTGGTAACTTGTTACTTTTTGCTATTGAAGCCATGGCCCATTCATAGTTGATTTACCGATTAAAGATGGTGATTTTCCATAGTTATGTAACAGTTTACCAGAGGGTATTTGGTTGGTGGTGACTGGAACCATGGAATTTTATGACTTTCCATAGATTGGGAATTTCATCATCCCAACTGACGAACTCATATTTTTCAGAGGGGTAGGTATACCACCAACCAGCCATGTTTGATTGTAAATCCCAATGAAGTCCCAATAAACGGATCAATAAACTACCATTTGTACCGTCCAGTGTTTATTTACATTTTCAGGGAAAAAAACGGTGTGAGCAAAGTCTAATTCTTGGTGAACTGCCGATTATACCAAATGTTTACTGATAAAAACTGTGTTGGTGTTGTTGTTGTTGTGGTTGTTGTTTTGATTGTTGTTTTGATTGTTGTTTTGATTGTTGTTTTGATTGTTGTTTTGATTGTTGTTTTGATTGTTGTTTTTATTGTTGTTGTGGTTGTGGTTGTAGTAGTAGTAGTAGTTGTTGTTGTTGTTGTTGCTGCCGCTGCATCATTCAATCCCTATTTTCTTGATCAGATCTCTGTTTTTTTTTAATAGAGAAATCCCCCAATTATATAATTTTTGTTTTAGTCGCTTCGCTTGTTTGTTAAACCCCTCCTGTTGATTCAATCATTATTTTTGTAGTTTGTTCAATCACCATGTTTTGTTGGTTGAATCGCCAAATTCTGCTGCTTAGAATAGCTGCATTGTTTTGGTATGTTTTGGTTCGGACGCCATACAGCAGTTGTTCGTTCAAATCCCTAGAATGTTGCCGCGTCAATACCAATTTCATTGGATCAAAAAACCTGCTTAGCTAGGAAATCCCGGCACCAAATGGAGGTTTGCAGCTCGGAAGATAATCGAACTAGATGGGATTTTGCAGCACGCCATGGAATTTATTACAGGGTATAGACAAAGTACATGTAGGGTATCATGTATCCCTATTAATCACTATAGACTATCAACCACTATTCATCACTATCAACCATTATCAACTACTATTCATCACTATCAACCACTATCAGCCACTATAAATCACTATCAACCACTATAAATCACTATCAACCACTATCAACCACTATCAACCAATATCAGCCACTATAAATCACTCTCAACCACTATCAGCCACTATAAATCACTATCAACCACTATCAGCCACTATAAATCACTATCAACCACTATCAGCCACTATAAATCACTATCAACCACTATCAACCACTATCAGCCACTATAAATCACTATCAACCACTATCAACCACTATCAGCCACTATAAATCACTATCAACCACTATCAGCCACTATAAATCACTATACCACTACACTATCAACCACTATCAACCACTATCAGCCACTATAAATCACTATCAACTATCAACCACTATCAGCCACTATAAATCACTATCAACCACTATCAGCCACTATAAATCACTATCAACCACTATCAGCCACTATAAATCACTATCAACCACTATCAGCCACTATAAATCACTATCAACCACTATCAACCACTATCAGCCACTATAAATCACTATCAACCACTATCAACCACTATCAGCCACTATAAATCACTATAAATCACTATCAACCACTATCAGCCACTATAAATCACTATTAATGATTATCAACCACTATCAGCCACTATAAATCATTTTCAACCACTATTAATCACTATCAACCACTATTAATCACTATCAACAACTATAGATCACTATCAACCACTATCAACCACTATCAGCCACTATAAATCACTATCAACCAGTATCAGCCACTATAAATCACAATCAACCACTATCAGCCACTATAAATCACTATCAACCACTATCAACCACTATCAGCCACTATAAATCACTATCAACCACTATCAGCCACTATAAATCACAATCAACCACTATCAGCCACTATAAATCACTATCAACCACTATCAACCACTATCAGCCACTATAAATCACTATCAACCACTATAAATCACTATCAACCACTATCAACCACTATCAACCAATATCAGCCACTATAAATCACTCTCAACCACTATCAGCCACTATAAATCACTATCACCAACTATCACCAATATCAGGCCACTATAAATCCTCTCAACCCCTATCAGAAAGCCACTAATAAATCCTATCAACCACTATCAGCCACTATAATCACTATTCAACCACTACAGCCACTATAAATCACTATCACCACTAATCAACCACACTATCAGCCACTATCACAATCAACCACACAGCACTATCATCCACTAAATCACTATCAACCACTATCAACCACTATCAGCCACTATAAATCACTATCAACCACTATCAACCACTATCAGCCACTATAAATCACTATAAATCACTACCAACCACTATCAGCCACTATAAATCACTATTAATGATTATCAACCACTATCAGCCACTATAAATCACTATCAACCACTATCAACCACTATCAGCCACTATAAATCACTATAAATCACTATCAACCACTATCAGCCACTATAAATCACTATTAATGATTATCAACCACTATAAATCACTATCAACCACTATCAGCCACTATAAATCACTATCAACCACTATCAACCACTATCAGCCACTATAAATCACTATAAATCACTATCAACCACTAGAAATCACTATCAACCACTATCAACCACTATCAGCCACTATAAATCACTATCAACGACTATCAGCCACTATAAATCACTCTCAACCACTATTAATTAGTATCAATGACTATTAATCATTAATGTCATCTCTCAGCAGAACACCAGGCAGGTGGCACTTTATCCACAGCGACCCCTCCGGGCACCCCGCGGAACACGCCACGTTATGGGACGCCACGGAGAAACGTCAGGTGAGGCAAGGGAATGCTGGAGATCTTCAACATGAAACTGGAGATACTATGAGATACTAATGTTGTAAAGATGCCAACCTAAGTTCCAGTTTCTTTGTGGGACTATGCCAACTTCCATGTTGAAACTGGAGATACAAGCAAACTTCACTGCCCAGAACATGTTGATTTTTCAAAATCTCTAGGTTCAGCCACATTCAAACTGTCGAAACTGGAGATGTTGTGCGTCAAACATGGAGAAAAAACATGAAAACGTGAGAAATTCAACATCAACACTTGCAGATGAACCGTTGCCCTAGCAATGACTCGCATGGCGAGGTAATTCAGTCCCAGTGACTGGTGCTTGGAGGTTGCCTGACACGTTTGGCAATCCGTCCAAAAGGACTAGTAGGGGTAAGCATCCCAAAATAGCCCTGTGGCTGTTTCAGATTATACATGTATAGTGAATTAGCGATTTTTATTTATTCAGTTAGTTCGAGTTTGGGATGGGGGTTGTCCGAATATGGAGAATCACCCAAAATGGCAATCTTCACGGCGGAGGAAAAATCATGACGGGTAATGAACTACCTATTTGGTGTATCATTTTTTTTTGGCAAACCCATCCCACGCATGATTTGTTAGAACATTCAACGCACGCAGTCATGTTTGCAAGAAGGTACGGTTTCGATGCAACAGTCGCTTTACAAATACTAAGCAAGAAATGAGCATGGAAACTTGGTCAATCTTAGATGGTAGTTTAATCCTTTGGTCTTTTGGTATGGGATTATCTACTAACCAGCTAAGAATTCATTTTTTTGCAAGGTATCTAAGATTGGCCATGGAACTATGGAACTATGGAGATGGGTTAAAGCATGCTAAAACCTATGATAGCTATGATACATGAAATGATAGCATCAGAGGGGATGGACCTGACCCAATTCGATTCGTTTCTTGTGAATCTTGGTCCTGCCTCAATAGGATATCCCCACTCGATGCTGGATAGTCAAGGTTCATAAATTTGGGTTGGTCCGAAAATTTGCTTTGCCATGGTTTGCCTATTTAGGCCCTAAATCCATCTAAATCCACGGTTACAAAACAAAAAAAACAAAACATGCAAATTGCCCAAAACTGTGGGGTATACCATCCCCCATTTTCAGACACACCCAATGGACATGAAACCTGGCTTGAAGATATCGAACATATATCCAGTTATTTTTTGGTGAAAAAAAAGCTGGTTTTTGCCCATGTCATGCCTCCGCGTATGTCCAGTTACGGATTATGTTTCCCCAAAAAATATCCTCCTGGTTGGTGGTTTGGACCATGAATTTTATTTTTCCATATACTGGGAATAATCATCCCAACTGACAAAGTCATATTTCCCCACCTGCCAGGTGAGGGTTGTTAGATTTTATGTCAGTTGCCTCCTCCTCCTCCTGCCGCCTCCTGCCTCCTGCCTCCTCCTCGTCCTCCTTGTCGTCCTTGTCGTCCTCGTCGTCCTCGTCGTCCTCCTCGTCGTCCTCCTCGTCCTCCTCGTCCAACTGCGACCCTCGACGCACAGTGTTCTCTGTCGGACCTCAACCACGACCATCCACGCCCAGTGTTCCCTGCCGGACCTCAACCACGACCATCCCCGCCAGTGTTCCCTGCCGGACCTCACCACGACCATCCACGCCCAGTGTTCCCTGCCGGACCTCAACCGCGAGTATCCCCGCCCAGTGTTCCCTGCCGGACCTCAACCACGACCATCCACCATCCACGAGCCCAGTGTTCCCTGCCGGACCTCAACCGCGAGTATCCACGCCAAAAGATATGCCACATAGAGTGCCAGAAGATATGCCAGATAGAATGTTAGAAGATATGCCAGATAGAATGCCAGAAGGTATGCCAGATAGAATGCCAGATAGAATGTCAGCTAGAATGCCAGAAGATATGCCAGATAAAGTGCCAGAATGTTTGCCAGATAGAATGCCAGCAGATTTGCCAGATAGTATGCCAGAAGATATGCTAGATAGAATGCCAGATGGAATGCCAGAAGATTTGCCAGATAATATGCCAGAAGATATGCCAGATAGAATGCCAGATGGAATGCCAGAAGATATGCCAGAGCATATGCCAGAAGATATGCCAGAAGATATGCCAGAACATCTGCCAGAAGATATGCCAGAACATCTGCCAGAAGCCATGCCAGGTAGAATGCCAGAAGATATGCCAGATAGAATGCCAGATCGAATGCCAGAAAATATGTCAGATAGAATGCCAGAAGATTTGCCAGTAACAAAATGTATAAATGTCATGGTGGGGATCACACGAAGTAAAGTAATTTTCAGAGGGGTAGGTATACCACCAACCAGCAACAGTTTGTTCCCAGGCCATTGTTGATAGCTATGTTATTTATGTGCCATCAAAATCATGCAGAACAGATTTGGCGTATCATGTGATGTGCTGAACGATGCTGAACGGCCCGGGCTGCCTCTATCCTGCAAGGCCATCGTTGGCAAAAAGAGCTGTTAAGTGTGCATTCTGAGGAATATCATTGGGGGTTTGTAATATCAACAAATAGTTGGAACTGTAATAAATATACTATGTATGTATACATATGATTACATATGTATATATATATAATGTTTACATGTGCAACTTAAATATACCCAATCAATATGAACCGAATCAACTTGGACTATTGATTTGCCCAGAAAAAAAATAAAAACAAAACATGTAGACTGGGCCTTATATTAGTGTCTTAAGTTGAATATTATGAGGAATTCAACCATTGGGGAGTGGAAGATTGCGGACGCCTTCCGGTCATTTAACATGACGTTTCCATTTACAGATGATTTACCTTTTAAACACAATGAAAGGTAAATTGAAACGCCAGGAGGGTTAAACATTAAAACATCTGGTGATTTGATTTTCCATGTTAAATTATCAGAGAGTATGACATCTTGCAGCAAGAATCCTTTCATTTCTTTCCGCTGGAAATGTTTTTCAGGGTGCTGTTTTAGGCATTTTTTGCGTCAATCTAAAGTGATGCAGCAAGTCAGTCATACAAGGGCAACACACCACACACACATCAGCTGTTTTGGACCCAGTTTCGTTAGTAGTTTCGTTCATTTGTTGATTTATCGAACATCTCAGCATTTACAAAGCCATATTTTCCAAAGTTTTATTTGTTCAAACATATAATTATGTGGTTTACAGGTTAATTATACAGGTTGATGTGGTAAACCCAGTGCCATAAACCTCCCATGTGGGGACGGTACCACCGATTTATTCTTAATTTGGGGATGGTTTATTGGGTTTACCATGCTTTACCACCTTAGATATCCCCGACATAGCTGACATCTCAACATATCTCGACGCTTCGCCCGGTTTTTTCTCATTTTGGCTCCAGAAGAAGAAAAAAGGAAGCGCTGCGATACGCGAGACACGCGAAGTCATGGGGGCTGTGGCGTCGAAGGCTTCGCAGGTGTGGACCCGCGCTCTGCTTTTTTTCGGGTCGGGGTGGCCTAAGAAACGAGTCATCCATTCTTACAATGTGAGGCCCCCAAGATATAAGTTGGTTTATAACTCCAATAACTATAGTTATAAGTACCATACACCATACTGACATTGGAGTTATTTGCACCAACTTAGCTATCGACTGGGGGCCTCACATTGTAATATAAAACATTTCAATCTAACCATACTCTGGGGACGGATACAATCGAAATCTTCGTGGTATGTTTTTTCCCAACCCCAAATAACCATCCGCTCACGGGGAAAATCAAGGACCGGATTTTGAGGTACCTCTTTCAGACAAACTGAGATTGGTTGGTGTGATTGGATGGTACCTTTTCATCCCCTCAACTACATAAGGTCTTGAGTACCCAGGCCTCCAGGCTTCAGGGGCCCAGGGTCTAGAGTACTTCCAGGAGCACTGTAGACCCTCTGCATTTAAGGTACTATAGACCCTTGAGCGTGTCTATGTTGGACATGATATATATGGATGTCCCATAATTTTCAACTTTGAAGATGTAAGGCAGATCTTGTTTTTTCAAAGGTCTGGACAGCTTTTCTGGCAATCATCAGGACAGGTTGGTTTTGCTGACCATTGTAGCTCTAGACCTTTGCCACGCTAGATTCCCCAGTTCTTACAGAGGTCTGGACAGCGTTTCTGGCACTGATCAAGATAGGTTGGTTTTGCTGACCATTGTAGCCCTAGACCTTTGCCAAGCTAGATTCCCCAGTTCTTACAGCATTTCTGGCACTGATCAAGACAGGTTGGTTTTGCTGACCATTGTAGCCCTAGACCTTTGCCAAACTAGATTCCAAAGTTTGTCCAAAGGTCTGGACAGCGTTTCTGGCCTTGATCAACACAGATTGGTTTTGCTGGCCATTGTGTTTCTAGACCTTGCCACGCTAGATTCATAAGATTTCATAAGATTTTTCCAAAGTGTTATTCATAAGATTTGATAAGTTTTTTCCAAAGTGTTATTCAAAAGATTTCATAAGATTTTTTTTTGCGAATTGTTATTCATAAGATTTGATAAGATTTTTTTTCCAAATTGTTTTTCATAAGATTTCATAAGTTTTTTTTCGAAATTGTTTATTGATAAGATTTCTTAAGATTTTTTCCAAATTGTTTTTCATAAGATTTCATAAGATGTTTTTTCCAAATTGTTATTCGTAAGATTTCATATTTTTCCAAAATGTTATTCATAAGAATTCATAAGATTTTTTCCAAATTGTTATTCATAAGATTTCATAAGATTTTTCCAAATTGTCATTCATAAGATTTGATAAGATTGTTTTTCCAAATTGTTATTCATAAGATTTCATAGGATTTTTTTTCCAAATTGTTTTTCATAAGATTTGATAAGATTTTTTCCGAATTGTTATTCATAAGATTTCATAAGTTTTTTTCCAAATGTGAAAAACTTGTGACAGCAGCGAAGAAAAAAATGAGCGAGAGAAAACATGTTGTTTGGAACATTTTTTTGTATTTTTGACGCATGGGTAAACGTCTTCAGACCTTCAGCATCTGTAAGGTCGATGGGTCTAGACTATTGAGATTGTTTTACGTGATTTAGCTATGTAACTTTTCTTCAGACCTCGTTT